TTTTTACGGAGCAACCCTGTATTTAGCAAAACTCAGAAATAAATCCTATTGAGTCCAGTGGACCACATTCTTGCTTAAGTACCTATACACATGAAAGGCTGAGTCTCACTTATTTTAGTGGGAGACACACCCCAAAAATATAATAATAATAATAATAATAATAATAATAATAGCAATAATAATAGCAATAATAATAGCAATAATAATAGCAATGACAACAATAATGTGCCATTAAGTAAATTCTGACTGGTTGTTGTGGATTTTTCGGGCTCTTTGGCCGTGTCCTGAAGGTTGTTCTTCCTAACGTTTCGCTAGTCTCCTTCTTAACACCAGTGGTCTCCCTCAGGAACAAGAGTTCCCCTAGGAGCACAGAGTGCTGTCCTCTGAAGATGCCGGCCACAGAGACTGGCGAAACGTTAGGAAGAACAACCTTCAGAACATGGCCAAAGAGCCCGAAAAACCCACAACAACCATTAGACCCTGACCGTGAAAGCCTTCGCGAATACATTAAGTTCTGACTGATTGTGACTTTTTCCAGGGTTTTCCAGGTAAAGAATATTCAGAAGTGGTTTACCTTTCCCTTCGTCTGGGGTCATCCTGGGATCGTGTAAGACCACACAGGCTAGCTCCACTCACAGGAGGCACAATGAGGAACTGAATTCCCCACCTCTACTGTAGTTCTGCAGCCAGATACCTAAACCAACTGTAGTTCCGCAGCCAGATACCTAAACCACTGAGCTATCCAGCCAGCTTTTCTCCATAATACCCTTCAAATTTTCATGAGAAAGATCACCCCACCTGCACAGGGGAGGGAAGAAAAGGGAAAAGCAAGTCCCTGAGACAGGGGGTTTCAATGTATGGAGAGCTCCTAGCCCATCAGGAAACACGGCACATGATAAGTAGTTGGCAGACCTATGAAAAGTCATATCTGAAGGTATCCAAGGTTGGCTGAATGGGACTGTCCTGTTCATGATGAGCCTGTGTTTATGCATATAGCAGCCTTCCATCACCGTTTAGACACCCTAATAAAATGGCTCCCAACTTTGGATAACCTGGGTGTTCTTAGACTGCAACTCCTAGAAACCCTGGCCAGCACAGCTAGTGGTGAAGGATTGCTGGAATTGCAGTCCAAGAACACCTGGGTTAGCTGGAATTGCAGTCCAGGAACAGCTGGGTTACTACCCAACATTGAGAACCATTGGCCTAACAGAAAGCACCTGATTTCCCTGAATAGCCTCACTGGCTCAGCCAAGAGCCTGGAAAAGCTACTTGGGGTGGTTGTAGTTACAGCTTATAAGAGTCCTGCAAACAAAATAGTTACTGCCAACTGTCCTGCCAATTTTGGATTGTGTTATGCTAAAAAGAAATAGTAATCTTTTTTTTTTGCAACCTCAGAGGGAAAAAAGCGCTATGTTTTGAAATCCCTGGAAGTACCGTATTTTTCGCACCATAAGACTTGGAAACTCAGAGGAAAAAAAGCTATGTTTTGAAATCCCTGGAAGTACACAGAATCAGTCTTGCTTCTTGGCTGAATGCAAAACAAATGGAGGCTCTAATAGCAATGACTTCCCACTGGGGAGATGCTTCCCAGGCTATTTTACGACTGAGAACATATTGGATGAAGTGCGAAATTATTAGTGAGTCACCTTTGAAAGGATGCAAGACCAAGGCAAAAACAAGCCAGGGATATTCAAACTGTTAACTAGCTCAACTAACTAGTGACGACGGGTGTTGCCTGGTTGTTCTGCATTCTGCAGCTCTTGCGCTTGTTAAAGAGGCGTAAAGTGTTTTTACAATATTTCCTCCAGTTTCTTATAAGAGGTGGACCAAATCCTTGAAAGTTATTCCCCTGAGCCCAACCCAGGGTAATTTGTCCCATTTTCTCCCCTGAGCTCTCTCTTTGTGTCTTCAGTGAAAATAACTCCCAATTGTGTCCCTGTTTCAGATGACCAGACCAGAGTTGTCTTAAACTTACTGACAGAGGAAGGCCAAGGCGATTATATCAATGCCAAATCCTTGAATTCCCCTGAGCCCAACCCAGGGTGATTTGTCCCATTTTCTCCCCTGAGCCCTCTCTTTGTGTCTTCAGTGAAAATAACACCCAATTGTGTCCCTGTTTCAGATGACCAGACCAGAGTTGTCTTAAACTTACTGACAGAGGAAGGCCAAGGCGATTATATCAATGCCAACTTCATTCAGGTATTTCCCCGTGTGATTCTTTATGCAGATCTTGCCATGCTTATCAACTAGCATTCATAGTTTTGGGCCACTCCATGCCAGGGGTGCATGGAGTATGTGTCCATTTCCATCATGTGAAAGACGCAACTTGTTTTGAAAGCATCCAGGCAGCCATGCCGCTAGAGCCGTGCTTCCAAATTCCTGATAAGCAAAGAGGCATTTTCTCTCGGAAAGTCACACAAACTGGAAGTGTCTCATGGCTGGGAAGAGACAAGGCTAGGTGATGGTCTCCATCCCACCCCATCCCTACTGCAGTGGAGGGGGAGGGAGTCCTCCCTTTGGCCCACATGGTAACCTTTTTCTGCTTATGTTTAGGAGGGAAGGAATGATTTTTGTCAAGATTGCAGAGATGGAGGCAAAGTTTTAAATCAACCCATAATGCAGTTCTGATAGAAATCCCCATGTCTAGGATTCAATTTTAAATTTTAAATATTGTGGGTTTTTCATGCTCTTTGGCCATGTTTTTAAAATTGCACTTATGTAGCCATGTAAGCCATCTTATTACTTTCAGATTCTATGTCAGATCCTATATTTAGAAACAAAATTGTTCCTCTGGCCTCAAAGAGCTCATTTAAATCTTAGGTGTCCAAGAATATGCATATTACAGTAGCAAACAAGATGTGCAAGTATTCTCATTTAACACTGACCATTCTAGTTACAAATTAGGTCAATCCAGTGCAAAAAAATAAATTAAAAAAAAAGGTGAATGATCCAAAATCCTCTGATTGATGCGTGCATCTGAGGGCTCAATCACATGGGAGAAAAGAACTCCAATTATAATTAATATTTTCATCCTTCTGTTGTACTGATACATTTTTTTCCAGTGGTCACGTGGGGTATATATCAGCAGGAGTATTTACACTATTTTGAACTGTACCACTACATTTGTTTCTATTGAACTGTTATAGCAAGCTACACTGTTCTTTAATTTTATATGGATTCATTTTCTCTACTGTTTCATGGGGCAATCACCCCCCTGTTCTTTAAAAAAAATTACAAAAGTGATTTATTAATAGAGCGGTACAAGCCTTCTCTCCTCCTCCCCTTTTTCCTTCCCTCCTTTATTCGCTCATCTCTTTTTCCTTATTTCCCAGCATCTCTCTCCCTCTCAGTTCTTGGCTTTCATTTTTCTTTTCCTTTTGCACAGCATCAGGAAGAGGAAGTGGGTTTTAAAAGACTTGCAAAGTATTGTCAACAGCAAGGTTAAAAAAAGAGAGAAAGGAGACTTTAATGCTATGCCCCTTCTTTACAATTCAAGGCAGGAAATGTCCTTTTCTTAAGCCCTCTTTCACCTGTGGCAGGTGGGGGAGACTGTCTCCTTCTGAGCAATATATTAATACTTTTGTGGCAATAATGGCTGCTACTACTGATTCACTGATATCCCTTTTTTTAAAAAATTGTTAAGGGTACAAGCGCAGTGGCCATGATATGTCCACAGCTCCCAAAAACCCAACCCCTTTGCAAAGGAAAAAAAAAATTTTTTTGTTAATGGTACAAGCACAGTGGCCATGATGTGTCCACAGCTCCCAAAAACCCAACTCCTTTGCAAAGGAAATGAATTTACTGCAATGCTCACACACGTTGAAACAATAAGGAATGAAGCAATACATGATCGGTACATTTTAAAACAGCTCTCACAGTGGGGAGGAAATAAACCAATCGCCAGGCCAAATGAATCGAAGTTAGTTGTGCATCATGTGAATGGAAAATTTCGACACGATCCAAATAACAGCCAAAATAGTATAACTGGGGTTCTTTTCGCAAATACGATCAAGCTCCTAAACTGGTTTACCACCTTTTCCTTTGCTTCCCCAGCTGGTTGGTTGTCTGTGAAAATGCATTTCTCCATCACAATTGTATGGGGCATTGTTCAGCACAATTACTGTATAGGCTACTGATTAATATTTGTCATTCTCTTCCTCCTCATCTTTCTCTTCCTCCTCATCTTTCTCTTCCTCCTCCTGTCAGGGTGTGGACAACAAGAGATGTTACATTGCCACACAAGGGCCGCTTCCACATACCGTTCTTGACTTCTGGCGCATGGTTTGGCAATGCAAAGTGAAGGTAAGTAGTATGGCAAGTTTGGAAATGGATTTCAAAGCACATGTAAAAGCAGACGCAATAGGTTCAAACAGATGTTTGAATGTTCAGGGATCTGGTAATACTAAGCTCAGTCAGTGATGAGTTTGCTGTTGCAACAGACACGAAACCAGAAATGAGATTTGAGAGGTTTCAAGAGTTTGCAGATATTGGGGTTAGGTGGAGACCTGGTAAGTATATGTAAAGGGTCAAGCCCATTCCCACCTAGAAATCTGTTGAAGGAGGACTAGGCCGAGCATTTGTTTGTCATTTGGGAGAGAAAAGGGGGAACCAGCAGGAGAAGAGAATGGGATGCCATGCATAGCTCTTAACAGCTTACAACAGAGACGGAAACATTTTTCAGCCCATGAGAAGAGTTGCTGGATCCTCATTCCACATGTGGGTGGGACTGAGAGTATGAGCTAGGTCAGAGCAAGTAAAGCCAAAGCCAAGTCACCAGGGGCAGATGTCATTCTTGCCAATTCAGATATTTTTTCACCAAACATACAAAGCACAGCTCAGAGCTCTGCCCAGGAGTAAATTCTAGAGCAACTATTTTCTAGATGATGCCTGATTAGTTACACGCAGCAGCTTTCCTGCCAGCAAAGCAAAGCGCATTTATCTGGAACGTATTTAAAGTTGAAGTATGCTCTGAAGTGTGAGATATAATATTAAATGTGCTCTTATCTTGGATCCAGTGATCAGAGAAAATAACAAAAGAAGCTAGTGAACTCAGTGAGGATCCTTGGTGGGCTACCTCTGGCCCGTAGATCGGAGGTTTCCTCCTCTTGTGCATATTGTATTCTAAAAGAGGGCACCATCAGCTGCCATCCTCAGGAACACTCCTATTAACAACACGCTGCAACGTTTTGTTGCAGGTGTCACTTGGTGGGCAAGTAATGGGCATGCCTCCTATCTATTGGTGTCAGCTGTGATCAACAGAGAATGTGTTTCAGCCCTACTCTGTTTCTGACTCTTGTGCTTTCTCCCGTAAAAATGTCGCCCCGAGTAGACATGGTCTAGAGGGGTGGGGTAAAAATCAAATAAA